TATAAATACTATAAAATACATACTATAAAATAAATAAAAATATAGAATCTGTGAATTTACATGTCTAATGTAAAGTGATAAATCATGAAATGTCAATATTTTTAATGGCAATTTTCATTTTTTTGACATAAAAGACTACATGTGCTATCTATCTATCTATCTATCTATCTATCTATCTATCTATCTATCTATCTATCTATCTATCTATCTATCTATCTACTAATTCCAGCAGAAGAAACACGCTGAATCCTTTCTCCTTGCATTTATGTTGCTTGTTTTTGCAATTGTCTTTGTCTTTTGATTGTATTATTAGTTATTAGTATTAGTTTTGTGTAGTATTTGACTGAGGATTAGATTTATTCGGAGTAACCTTCTATATTGTTTCTTGCAATGGTTGGAGGTCAAGGTGGCTGCTGCCTGGGCGTAGAAGTTTCACTCCCTCAGCAGTCCACCTAGCAGGGGAATTGCCCCATGGTGACTGCTGCTTGGCCCACACACTGCAGATATCACACGTTTTAGCTGGTGTCAGGCTGTGTATCTAATGCATCTTTTAGGGAGAGGTTAACTTTCGTCACTCTCAGTGTCTCTGCTGTGACAAGGTCAAAGCGTGGACTTCAAATCAAATCATTGCAAAGCAGTGACAGTTTATCTCCCTGTGATGAGTCTGGAACTGTACTGACTGTACAACCGTTTCTGTTTAGCACTCAGTAGCCTATAGCAGCGAGCAGGTGAGACCCAGTTAGGCTGCTCGGTGGTACTTCATCAACCTGCTTGTTGTTGTCACAGCCACAATTGGTTTGTACTCCCCATCTGCTGTATCAGCAAAGTCACAAGTGATTTGGTCACTTTGGAGCCCAGTTAGCTTTGCTCACTGTGCTTCCCTGTTGATTCCGGCCATCATTACAAATGGTATGTTTATGCTGCGGAGTTAACCCGGATAGTGCTCTCCCCTGGGTGCCTTTATTATCTATTCATCATGTTGTCCCAGTTTATCTCAAGATGAATCTGGCTGCTTCACTACAGATCTAACTACAGATACCTGGCGTATAGCCTGGGGAGGGAGATTAGGAGATTACAAGGTCCACTGTGGAGGTGTTTCACTTCCAGTTGATAAGGAGGTGAAAAATATTCTAAGAAGATTCAAAGAGGTCATGAATTTGTGTTTGCACTCTTCTAACACGGCTATGTCTTCAAAGTATGTGAGAATATATTAAAACCAGCTTTATTTTCATGCTGACAATTTGCACAACCAGCCGGGGGCAACTTCAGTGTGTCCAATCTTGTAAATAAATGAACATTTGAAACACTGAAATGAAATGTTCTTGGCCTTGTATTCAGCCTTCAAGCAGACTTGTTGGACACTCCCTCAAATTTTCTCACTGCTAATTTGCATTGCTGAGTAGATCCTTTGTGTCACCTGGAGGTTTGGGCAGAGCAGTGTTGCAGCCAATTTCCAGATGGCAATTCAAACGTGTGACATATCCTCAATTTTTGACAAAAATGCACGACCACTTCCACAGACTCCATTAGCTGGGGGGTCTGCATACATGTGCACAAATGGAAAGCAGAAAGTGTCCAGTTGTGTGAATATTCACATCCACACCTGCTGAATAATAGATGATTATCAGCTCAGGTGGCTCGCCATCCACCACCGTTCACATGTTTTCTCCCATTTTGTGGTACTAATTTTGTCTGGAATGCTCAATAGCCTTGCAAAATGCATTTTTCTTGTCTCTCAGACCGAATCTTGTCTTGTATTCTGCCTAAAGAGGGAACATTTTCTTCAATAAGAGTGCTTGCTATCTTCAGGGAGTAATGTGTCTGCAATATAGACTCTAAAGAGCCCCAGGTCTTGGCAGGTACTCCTTACATTTCAACAGGGCAGAGACACCTACGGCAGATTCTGTGGCAGTGAGGCAATATATCATCTGTCATTGCCAGAAGCCTCTACAGTAATGAACAAGTACTAATGGTATATATCTTGAACTAGAGTCTCTAAAGGTGGCTCATCCAGAGTCATTATTGTGCCACATAACCAGATGAGCTTTCTCAAACGAGATCATTTTTGTCACCCTGAGGACTGGAGGGTGTAACTGTTCTCAGAGTGAATAACTCATTCTCATTTGGCACTAATGGGACTCTGTATTAAGGTGTAGTGTGAATGCAAAAGGAATGGCAAATCCCACTTTTTTGTAATTTAAATCTCAAGCTGTTTTCACACATCTGTTCCTCTGGCAGAAATTACTATTAATTTGGAAAAAGTATGCATGGGATAAAAAGAGGAACATTTAATTAAGATTCACACCTCACAATTATGACAAACTTGTGTTATGGAGAGGTATGTCAGGATGACATCTCTCTGTCAGAGAAATAAGCATTATTGTCTTTGTCCATTCATCCACCTACCTGTCTAGCTGGTATCCCACTCTGGCCCTCCATCAATCCATCCATTTCAGCTCTTTCCAGGTACTGTGATGGTACAGTTAACCCATAAAGAGGGATATGCATATGAAGTCAAGGTTTTTCTGCATATTTGACAGCTGGGGCGGGGTGGAGGTCATGCCCATCGAGGATGACAAGATATAGCAATCCTGCTGTTTGTGAAATTAGCCATGGTGCACACAAGATCGGCAGTGCAGATTTTTGAGTCTAAAGACTTTGTGATTAAGTGTTTTACTGCAAGCACACAAAAAAAAATCTACCAGTCAGCCAGTTTTACAAAACTTAGTGTGATATAAAGGTATTAGCATTTACTAAAAAAAAAAAAAAAAAAGTCCAGACAAGACATGCTGCACAAGCAGCTGCCTGAATGGGCAATGCACCTCAACATCTCTGTTGTTCAATTCAGCAAATACATGGTTCAACCTGTCATTCAGAAGTGCTGATGTAGCCATGCTCAGAGCAGAGCCACCAAGTCCCCAGAGTTGGATATCACTGCTAACTGTCACCCTAGTAGTTTGATTACTGGACTGGGGGAAGAATGATGACTAAAGCCACTCCAAGTCCTGGTCAGACTCTGTAAGGCTGTCGAGGAAAGTGGATCAAGTCCAAGGTCCCATTTTCACCTCTAACATTTATATCATGGGCTCACAGCTGACAGTACTTACTGTGTTACAACTATTAGAGAACACACTATTCTAAAACCATTATTTAGTGTTTATTAACAACCTTTAAACATTTATGTGTTTATTAATGTAATTCTCAACAACTTAGCCCCTAATGAGTAATGCCCTTTATGGTGGTATATAACAACAACAACAACAACAACAATAATAACAATAGTTCATTGTTAATATATTTACATCGAAGAGGATGATATTCAGTTGTAAGAACAACCTTATAGCTGATCGCTTCCTGCTCTTCTTGTGTATCTTCACATTTTTCTTCCCTGTTTAAAGATTTTTATGAAGATTTCTCAAATCTAACTCTAAATTCATGCACTAAGCACAGAGCAGGTCACCTGCTTCATCGGTGGTGGAACCCTTTGGGACAGACTTGTAGTTTGGGACCAAAAAACTTGCATCATTGCCTCACAGCAGGGAGTCCCTGAGTGCAAAACAGCTAGCTCAGAAAACCTAAGAGGAATTTGAATGCTGTCCTGTCAGTGTGAATTTTCCCCAGAGGATCCAGTGTTTACATTCTTTGCTTAAGGAAAAACAACAACTCTACAATATAAGCAAATTCCATTCCAGGTAATGACCCTTCATTGAAAATATTAAGCAAAACAGAGGTGTTATTAACAAAATGCACCTAAAGCAGGGATGAATAACAATATTGGCATCATCATTGGTATCGGTTAATTGAGGGGTTAAGATGACTTATCAGCATTGACCAAAATGTTTAAAAATATTGTATAGAAGTAAATCTGGCATGTTTTACATGTAAGTTGATATATATATTTTACATTTGGAGTGTGGAACTTTATGATAAGAGTAGGCATAATAATAGATTCAATCTGCTACAGCTTGATGTTCTCTGTTCTCTGCATCCCTAGCCCAAAGTATCAAAGGGATGGCAAAAAAATAGCCCATGCAGCTAAATTTTAGACAGATTTATATAAAACAAATCTGATTAGGGCAGCACACCACAGTGGTGCAGTGGTTAGGGCTGTCATCTCACAGTTGGGTTTGTACCTGCTGGTCAGCTGGAGTCTGTCTTTGTGGTTTGCATGTTCTCCCTGTACCTGCATAGGTTTTCTTAAGAGGCTCCAATTTCCTCCAGTAGCCCAAAGACATCATTTGGTTTGTCAAATAGTGACTTTAAAGCGGCCATAGGTGTGAGTGTGCATGGTTGCTTGTCTCTTTGTGTAAGCCCTGTGATGAACTGGTATCCTGTCCAGGGTGTATCCTACCTATCACCCAGTGTCAGCTGGCAGGAGGCTGGACATGTTGTTTCCCCACAAGTTGAAAACCACCAGATTGTCCAAAGCATCCAGAGTAGGAGGCAAAAAGCACAGTCAGCTCAGTAGGTGTTTTGTGAAGCCCCAAAGATCAAACCATTTTACTGCACAATATCTTTAAGAACTGTTACTTTTTTGAAAGATGATTCAGTGTTTACACTGCTGTCAACTTCATGCCATATTTAGGTTGAGACTAGAGAACATACATAAAAGCTCAAGCCAACATGTGAAAAAATTTGAGAAGAGATTATGGCCAGCCAGTGAAAGCATGCCAAATATGTCAGTCATAAAAAAAAAAAACTCTAGCAAAGAATAGCAGCTGTAGCTTACAATGTATTAACAAAATAAACATGTTTTTGTACCATGTGTGACAGCATGTATGAGCACCAGTGTATTTCTGTGTGTTCGGCTATGAGATCATTGTAATGACCTCAACTGACTGAGCTCACACAGCATCCTATCCCCAGCCCAGCCCTCCTATAGTGGGTGGGGAGCAGGGTGCTATCTGTGGACTTGAAAAGTGACAGGACCAGCTGGGGAATGAAATCCAGTAAGACAGGCAGTTGGTCTGGGAGACGCAGCTTGCGAGCCCCCATAGCCCTCTGTTACAGCAGCCTGTAACTCAGCTCGGAGAAAAACGCAGCCAGGATTCAGAGTAACTGCTGCCAAACATCAGGAGTTCTCCACTACCAGACTCTATATGCCAGTGGAACTGATGATGGACTTGTTCAAGAGCCCTGGAGATCAATCTGACGCCATTATCCTTAGCAATCCTGTCAATGTTCCAAGAGTTGGTGATTCAGCTAATTGCAAGCTGACTTCTCGTTATAAGTGCTAGAATCCACAGCACTGTGAGGACGATGGGTGGGAAGCAATCTCGCAGTTTGTCCGACAAGGAGTTGAACGAGGTGAGTGTGAATCAAAGGAGGAAGAGTGCAATTAGAGACGACCAGCCCAGCCTGTCCTCGGCTGCTGAGAGGATCCGCAGACACACTACAATGCACTTTGGTTATAGCACCCTGAGTCTAGCCATGCGGGGGCTTGACGAAACGCCTACTGAGCTGTGGGAGCTCCGAGGGCTTCAAAAGTTAAATTTATCCATGAACTGCCTGTGCTCTTTGCCTCCTGCTCTGGGTGCTTTGGACAATCTGGTGGTTCTCAACTTGTGGGGGAACAACTTGTCCAGCCTCCCGCCTGAGATCGGCCTTCTGAAGAAGCTACGTGTACTCTTTGCTTGTCGCAACCGCCTGAGTGAGGTCCCCGAGGAGCTGGGCTCCTGCACTTGCCTGGAGGTACTCAGCTTGGCCAACAACCAGATCACAGCCCTCCCCAACAGCTTGGCAGCCATGCACAATCTGACCAAACTCAACCTGAGTCACAATCGCATCGTTCACATCCCCACCTGTGTCTACAACATGAAGGGCCTGGTCTTCCTTCACCTGGCCTGCAACCGTCTGGAGACCATTGCAGACCAGATACAGGACCTGGTTAACTTGAAGATCCTCATCATGGAGGGAAACAGCATACACACACTGCCTAAGACTCTTTGCTTCCTGGAGTCTTTAGAACTACTCAATGTTGACTTTAATGACCTGCAAAGTGTGCCAATGGAAATGTACCTACTGAGCAGGCTGGGGCGGCTGGCCTGCCACCCACTGGATAAAGGACTCCATATTATACATAACCCCCTCCTCAAGCCTATTCAGGAGGTGCTGCAAGGAGGACTCAGTGCCCTCTATAACTACCTCAAGCCCACATGAGAGACTACCCCTGTGTGTATGTGTGTTTGAGTGTGTTGTGTGTGTCTAAAAGCGTGTGTGTCGTAAGAGGATGTTGGCACAAATCAGACTCTCGGCACGTGGTAGTCATGCTCTGAGTCTGCTGTTACCTCAAACTGCCTGCCTAAGATACCATGACTCAAGACAAATGACCATCATTATGTAATAATGGTACAAACTGGTTCAGTCACATGCGGATTTCTTCTGACTGACAAGTTGATTTTCCATTTTTTATGTAACAGATAAAGTTTGGATATAAATAATTAACAAGTAACTGTTGTGTCACGTCTAAACATTTGTTAAGCCACGGTCAGGACAACTCGCTTAGCTCAGAAATTCACAGGTCTACATTTGGGTGCTGATTACTGGTCAGTTGATCTTGTTTGGCCCAGTGGCAGTGAGGAGGGCACTGGGGTTAAGTTCAGCTACAGATCACCACTCTCTTTGTTGCATTCAGGTCATAGGGATCAAGTGTGTAAAGTCAGTGGAAAAAGCGGTGGAGGGGGGCTTAAGATCTTCAAAAAGAACAAAATAAACAAATTCAAACGCTGCAAGGACATCAACAATCTCTGATTAAATGTTTTTCCACTCTGTCAGATCAAGTGCTGCTGGGGAACAGCACTTTGCTGTGTATTTTAACAGCAAAAAATGTAAAAACTATGAAAAAAAAGTTACAAAATTAAGAGTGTATTCCAAAAATAAATTAAATGTGGAGCATTGCAGTGCTTTTTTTTTTCAATTAATTTTAAATACTTAAAATCAGACATTGTAGTTGAAGCTTTAAAGGCTCATAAGCAGACCTTTGAGCTTGGACTGATTTGTCACTTTGTAGTTAATCATCAGTTTGGATTGACACTAGTCTCATATAACCAAACGTATCTTCATGGTGCTTTGTCAGCACCAGTAAAGTATCACACATAAGGCAAAAAATAAGCTACATATTTAATTTAAACAATTTGAAGCATTTAAAATGTGTCTGTGCAGTTGTAACTGTTGAAACTAAATGCACAAAGCTGTAAATCTATGCACAAATAGTACTTTCTTGTCACACAAGCTTTTGTTACATAGAAAATGTATTAATACAGTGTCAAATTATGTCCAGTAGCTATCTAACGAGATCAGCAATCAAAACATCAATTATTAAAGTTAAGTCACTTTTAATAAAATCCTGCTGAGACAATATAATCATTTAGTTTCATTTTATAAAATATATTGAATGTCCAAACTGTATGTGCATACATAAATGTTTGATTTCTACCATCTTACATTGGAGAAACATAATTTTGATTATTCTATATCTGTTTTGAATATAACTTCCATATTGCAGTATACAGAATATTAAGATAAATGTCAGCAACTCAGTATTATTGTGGTATTGGTAAAAGATCTGCAAACCTAAAATGCCATCGACACGTTTTACACAGCATTGTCATTATTGTACAGAAGAAGTTTTATTCTGAATGATTAGCAATCACTGTTGCTGTTTAGTCTTTACTTTAAGTAAATAAAAGTTGCTAGCTCAGTCACAATGGGAACATGTATAAGCTTCTCCAGCTACTTCTGCAACTACCATGCAGTTGTTTGTAGTGAAGTGACTTCGTCTTGAGCTTCAACCACAGAGCACCTTTATGATGTGGTCTGTACTTACATGCAGTCATAGTGAGCATATGGGTGTCTAATTATGTCTCATTTCTTTTTGCGTGTGTCAACTTATAGGTGCCAATGCACGTGAAGCTTACACATACAAAATAACATGACCTTCAAGAAGGTCACATTTAACCAGTCACCCAGAGGATATGGAAAAGACAAAAAAGTGACCTCTGTTGGTATGTACCTGTTACTACAACAGTCAAAGTGTTTGCTGAGCTAGCTGAGTTATCCACTCACACGTTCTCTCTTTCGTTGAGCAATGCTCACACTCACAGACACACACACAACCCATGTATTCATGATAGATGAACCCCTCCTGAATAAGTCTTTGTCCTAGATAGTTATCATGGAACATGCTGTCATCTAAAGCACCTATAAAGATATTGCTTCAATGTGAGTCAGATGACCTGAATTCAGGTGTTGTGTGTTGCTGTTACTATTTTAGTGATACATTATACAAAGACAATGTCTGCTAGTGTCACTTATTTACCATCAAATGAACATTATATATAGACAGAAACATTTCCTATCAGTAGCTAAGAGATACAACATGTATTTTTATTTCAAAAGTTCAGGATATATTTTTGAAATGCATACAGTCTCTAGTGTATTGTTAAGTAAAGCACACAAACACACTTTAATCACTATGTCAACAAATTAAAGCGATCCTTTGCCTCTTGGCAATCAACCTCAGTGCAGTCAGTGGTGTTAACTTGGTGGTCAGATGTACACCAGGGATCAGCCATGACTGCGGTAACCGGGCTTTTTAGGATTTGCTGATCCTATTTAATTGCTATGTGCTCCAATAACTTTGCTTTATAATGAGACACTGTGCAAGATGAAACAAATGGATGAACGCAGACTGGTATTTTGCATTCATAAGTTAAAGCTTAGAAAACAGTTTAGCATCACCAGCAGCCAGTGACTTCCCATAATGAAGGACAGCTAATCAATCTCATATTGAGCTTTTGACAATCAAGGCATAGGATAATCACAATGGAATTAAATGACAAACCACTGTTGTCTGGAAACCACATGAGGAGAGACTTAATAAGTCTTTCTTTGGAGTGCAGCTTAAGTTCTGTGATTTATTCACTCACACTGAGACCCCTCACATAGGGTGAGGTGATTGCCATTTATTGACAAAGTATTATACTGTCACTTACGTCAATTACAAAGTGTCATTTAGCTCATCATTCTTTTATTTAACGGATGTAAACTCTCTCTGCAGGAAGAAATATGAAAGAGCATAGATTTGCCAAGAGCCAACAGGTCTCTCCCCTGCTGCTGGTGGCTATCTATGATGAAATGTCAGTATTACCCCTTCGGTAACTCGGGATGTTGTTTGGAAATCAACAGCAGTGAGTCACTGAAACAGTGGACCACTGTCATAACCTTTAAGGCCTAAATATGGAATCTTTTGATCCTGGCCTGGCATCAATTTTTGAGGCACTTCCTCTCATCCAATCAGTGTAATGTCACAGCTTGTCTGTGTTTTGCTTTGAGAGTGTGATAAAAGTAAGCTTGTGAAAGGTTACATGATATAAAAAAAAACAAGATAAAAAAAAAGGTAGGTGTGCAGCTTCCTGAAACAAAAATTATGATATGATTGCGAAATATATTTTAAGTTAGCAGAATATGAAGCCTTATAACAAACCAAGGGAGCCTTTATTCCTTTTCATTCTTTTTTTTAGAATCCGCCTCTAGCTCTAAATGAAAAGTATGACAAAAATTTAGATTTTATAGCTCCTATGAATGTGTGAAAACTTATACACAGTCTAAATAGCAGCAAATCAAGGTTGAAGTAAATCAGCAAAATGTATAATAAGTTGAAATAGACAATCAATAAATAGTTACCTAAAATAGCAGACAGAGGAATGATAATTGGCTCAAAATAATTACATAAAAGGTTTAAAACAAACCTAAAGATGATGGTTTAAATAGTTTTAAATAGTAAGCATGCACATGATGACAAAAAAAAGCTAAAAGGTGCTGGCAAAAGGTTGACAAAGACAAAAGGAATGAAACTATGATGCAGAGTAATGACTAAATTGCTAAAATGTTCAGCTTCTGCCACTTCAAGTGGTGGTAACTTCATCAAAAGGACCTTAACACTGACAGCTTAATTTTAGGAGGAATCTGTCCACGTTTATATGTGTAATAAATCTAATCAATGTAAAACTAATTAGTTTAAAACCAATTCAAATTATGCCATTTGGGACATGGTTAGTGGTGTCACTGCTTAGTCTGTTTGGGCTGTGGAGTTACACTAGAGAAAAGGAAACCACTGGAGTGAGGTAGAATATATTTGTTCAACACGACTTGTTTATGGCAAACCACTGACACACACCCCTCAATCACACACTCCCAAACACGCTCACACTCTCTCTGGCCACGCATTTGTAAGTGCAAACAATGATGTTATCCATTCATTACCTCTACTCAGTCACATCAGTTTACATTCCCACAAATTCCCATGACAGCTCTGCTTAGACTGACATTCATGCATTCCTGGCAACATAACTGTTGCAGCCAAGACAATACCTAAACACCACAGAGACTGGTGGCGTTTCAATGGAATGACTCAGGCTTTGTTTGTGTACTTATAGAGAAAAACAACAAGTGGAGCCATATATCCTTGGCAACAGGGGGTCATTTTGAAACTAAATGTAGATCCATGTCAATCTGGCTGCATTTTAATTAGCTATGAAAACTGCTGGTACAAGTGAAATCTCCATGTGTGTTTATGCATGCAAAAACAAGAAGGGAATGACATTGGCTGACTTTGTCATTAGTTCCTTCTTCATCCCTGTGTTTGATATAGCTGTGAAAATATCCTAGCCTTGTTTGCACTTGCTGTCTCAGATAAGACTCATTTTGAACAAATATTTGCATAAATTAAAGCACAGCATCATTATTGATTCATCGAAGCAGAAAAAAAAAAAAAGTGTGATGATGCGTCCTATTTTACCAGGTCAACTAATAAAACGCTCCTAAATGTCAGCCTGGGTTTCCCTTTAATAGGATCAATGCATGAATTTGATGAGAAAGGACACACAAGGTGAGCTATGATTAAAAATCCATCTGTTGAAGATTTTAATGTAATGAGTTAATAAATTACGGTGTCAAGGTGAGCATGAAAATACCCTCCGTGGCTTATTTAGTGTTCTGACAAATAAAATCACCAGCTTGATTTAGCAAACAGTCATTTAGCAGTGGTGATCAATGAAATATGTACAACAATGTTGCAATACAATCTGGCGCCAACTGAGTTTACTCATATTTTAACTTGAGTAATTGTGCTTGTTTTCTCTGCTGGTGTCTGTGGATCCAGAGCTACGCTTCCTACTGACCTCACAGATCTCTAAAGTGTTCATTCTTCTTTTATGTATTGTTTGTCTGTTCTCCATCTGCTATCCTGCTATTCCCACCCTAACCCCCGAATCCCCAGCCTCACTCCAACCGGTTGAGGCAGATGGCTGCCCTGCCTGAGCCTGGTTCTGTCTGAGGTTTTATTTTTGTCCTTCCCAGTAGAGGGGAGGTTTTTTGTAACTTCACACTGCTGGCAAGCGCTTGCTCAAAGTGAATCCAAGAGAAACTTTGGATTTGTTAGATTCGCCGTTT